AAACACATTCTGAGTATGTTGCGAACACGTTGAGAGGGCGTTGCGAAAATGTTTAGGACGTTTATGTACTCAGGGTCGCAGGGACGGCAATGCGAAGTAGCGACAACGTGGTGCGCACGTGATAAAAAACGTCGCAGAGACGTTGCCAAAGCGTTCTATACTCCTTGTAGTCACGTTGCGGAAACGTGGTGACAACGTTCCAGAAACACTGTTGGTACGTTACAGAAAACATTTCATAACGTTGGCGGGACGTTGTAAGAACAGTTTTGGGACGTCACGGCCACGTTACAGAAACGTTGTGATGACATTCAAATGCATGGTCGGATGACGTTGTCACGCCGTTGTCTGGAGTCTACAAAATTACGTTGTCACAACGATAAATCGGGACGTTGTGGTAACCATTTGACAACGTTTAAACGACGTTGTAACAACGGCAAATTGTTAGCTGGGTTTCTATTAAAATATAGTCATTTTCTGCCCCAATATTCGCTAACTTATTTCTAGTGTGCATTTTGGCAAACCATTGCAAAAAACGCTAATAGGGAACTCTTCCCGATTAGCGACCGGGGAGGGTCGCTAATAAGTCTATGGGTTTCCCCATATTAAAAATGGCAAAAAATGCGACGCCTGAAAAGATGAAATATGATCTCAAAAAGGTAACCTATACGCAAAGCACTCAATCACTCGAACATGCACGTGTATCCAACACATTTCCGTAAGAAAAAACTGATCACGTGATGCACTGAAGGCGAAAAGAAGGCGGAAACCCAAATTTTGCGGGCTATCTCGTATGATATTCGAGGTCCGCGCTGAACTCGGCACCCCTGCAGTCTGTGACGACATTTGGCATCCCCTGCCACACATTGCAAGCTTCAGCAACATCTCATTTTCATTTCTCTCTTTTCCCCTTTCTTTCCCTTCTTGAGCTATTTGCGACCATGTCAGGCGCAAATAGGAAATATGAGTTGCGACACATTTTTAACCGCCATGCTGTGCACAGTTGAGCGATTCACTATGGGAAAACCGCAATCAATTGAAAAAGGAATGTCGATTCAGAATAAAAAAAGGTGCATCATCCTAATGTGCATCGCTTTTCATCAGAGAGGGCCCAAACACACACGTTTTGGATAAGAAACTCGTCATTTTTATTTAAACTCACCTGAAACGTCCCACCAGAAACATCGACGACCGAAAAATAATTTAATTTGCTAACCAAAGTATGGCTGACTTTTTGACGATGTTTTCTCCCCCGTTTTCTCCTGCCAGTTTTTCTGTAGGGTGGTAGGTCGCAAATCGGAAAGGGTCGCTAATTAGGCACCTTACCCTATATCGAAGAGCGTAGGGACTATCACATATATTCCGGTTTTTTCGAAATTCGAAAAAAATTTGGAAATTTTTTGAGTTTTTCTAAAAAAATCAATTTTTTTTATTTTTGGGGGTCAAAATCCTGAAATTTTGAAAATCCGAGATAGCAGTTTTGTAGCGCCGTCTTTTCTCTACACAACCACATAAAGAACTTTAAAATTGCTTGCTAACTGTAGAATTGGTGAGCGTTTCAAGATGTCATGTTTTTTGCTCATTTTTGCTCGAACATCACCTCAGTTTGACCTCAATAACTCCTGACCTGAGGTGACCTGTGACTTGAAATTTTGTGTGAAGGTGTTAAATTGATGCCCGGTAAGGTACCCAAAATTTGGCGGCGCTGCGCGCCGCCGTTTTCTCGCTATTCAAGAAAAACCACAGGGGGGACCAAAATGGCCCCCCCCATCAGGGCGCGGGTTAATCAGACGTTTTCTTTCCGTGGTGGAGCCCGAATGGTTTCACAAGAAGCTGCTCGCTGAAAACAAATGAATATTGGCCCGTATTGGCCTGCATTGAGATTGAATGTTGAATGTTAAGTGCACCGAAGGCAACACAGAGCTAAATCAAATTCAGAGAGAGCTTTGAGACGCCTTCTTAATTTTTTGAAATCTGATAGTCCCACTGCTTTGTCCGATCACTCAAAGGTGATGCTCATTAAAGGGACTATCCCACCTTTAACATGGGGTTTGAGTTGAGATAGCCAAGTTTGCGGCGAGGTTCAGAAACCACTATCTATCTAGGTTGCAACCCCCGCGGCCTCTTGGTGTTGAAGAAATTCGTTCCCTTCATTTGAAAATGGGCCTTGCATAAGGCCCTATCTTCAACATGGAGCGACCGTTAGTGTGACGTCACCTCGTTTAGTCATTCTGATTTAAATGGGTTTGTTCGTTGAAAAATCGCTTAAAACTTGGTCTGAACTTTGTTGTGGTGCCTACAGAGTAAAAAGAATCAGCTTTATGACAGTAATGTGGCCTGGGGAAGGAGGTAATTTTGGGCTGTGACGTCACATATTTGAAAGTTTGTGTTTGGAATATGGGAAGCCTAAGATGTTTAATGAAAAATAAATGCCAGAACCGTGTTCCTGGTCATCCAATCTATAAAGTCGGGCACAATTTAACTGGTTTTAACAACATTTTAGAAGGTGGGACAGAAAATGGATACGAATGGTACAGACAGCGAGAAAAGACTACAGTTTGCTCTCCCAAGAGCTGGCGAACAGAGAAGCAGAAGGTGTTCCAACCAACACAAGGAAGACCCAGAATGGGCTGTAGCCACTTATCGTGATAGGCGCAGCGCAGGCCAAGTGTCTGGTAGGTATACCCAGGCACACATGATACAGAGATGATGGAATAGATCAGAGCTTGTAAATACGCGTTTTCAGTAGAAGGTTCTCACAGAAGGCGGCCCTGGGTGCATAAGTTCTTTACAAGTGCTGCAAGAGGGCCTGCATATTAATATAAGAGACTGAGCGAGACATTGCACAGTCCACTTATTCCACTACTGCATTTCCTTATTGGCGCTATTAATTTGAATAAACAATACACACTTCGTTATAAACAAATGTTCCCCGAAAACAAAACCAAGCCCTGTTTCTTTTCCCAATCCCTCCATGTAGCCCTTTTAAACAGACGAGCTGAGCGACGAACGGCGCAAAGTCGTTATAATAAATGCATAATCGGACCGCCTCCTCGGTACACCAGGCATTATTCGGTGTGCCTTGCCAAGGGTGTTTATATTTAATGCACTCCCAGGCTCGTGCATTAAATACAAAAATAACACTCATTTCATTCGTGTTATTTTTGAAAATATTAACCTCACTTCGTTCGGTTAATATTTTAGGAAAAATAATGCCCTCACTCCGTTCGGGCATTATTTAAAACACCCTTGGCTAGGCACACCGAATAATACCTGGTATACCGAGGAGGCGGTCCGATTAAATATATATTATGGGGGAATATTTGTTTCTGGTCCCTAAAAAGCTGTTTCTGGCACCTAATTGCTGATCAGCCCCAAAATGCTTATTCGACCCTAATATCTGAATCTGGCACCTAATTGCTTCCACACAGCCTAAAGTTGCCAGATCGTCTAGTTGAACTCCGTATTTGCTGTTGCTGATTCAGCACCAAAACCAAAACATCCAGCACCTATTTTATTCCTCGTTTGCCTACCTAATTCGCGTAATCTTCCTGATTTTATGTATCCTAACAACATGAACGTTGCATTCGGTGATGTCAAGTGCCATTTTCGCCAGTGGAGATAATGATTAATGCCATTTCTAGCCAAAAGAGAATCACTAGCCAGCTATGGTGCAGCATAGCAAGACGCTCCTATACCAGCCCGCTATGTAGAGACTAGAGATTATTGCACCCTCAGCCATTTTAACGTGACAAGTTTGGATCCGTCACTTCCAGCCAGGCTCTCAGGTCATAAACTGGAGTAAAGCAAAATGTCAACTCTGAACAGACATGCCACACAACCGGCCTTCTTTTCAATATTATTAGCTTTCTGCAATCATCGTCTGACTCCATCTCGATCAAACGCAGCATCCGGTTTCTACAGGGGCGTTTGAGTTTGACTGACCATATGGCCTTGGACTGACCGGCCACACAATAACCAAAAACAAAATCAAAGCTTCATGCACACATATGCCATACGTAAGAAACGGATGAAAAAGGCACAACCACGGCACAACTCTGCGCGGCAAACAACGGACAATGTCCCACGCAAGATCCCGCGTTTCTTCAGCGGCCTTGAACGGAGTGAAAACATTACATTTCTTTTTTGGAGCTATTTGATGACGTCAAAAAATACAATACCCGTTTTAATGGTCAAAATCGAGACAATTACTCACAAAAATGTTTCCCTTTAAGCATTACAAATGAATGCTTTTAAATATTTAAATGAAATCGTTTTTTTTTTCAAACAAATTAATATTATTTGCTTACTTAAACGTCATATACAATGCTGAGATCACTACGGGACTGTCTTAGAGTGTAGCTGCACTGGCAACCTTTAGGCTAGACTCCAGGGGTCATTATACCAGAACAACATGATTCTACCAGCCAGTAGTTCATTTTTCTACTAGATTGGTGCTACGCTCAGCATTTAGGTGCCAGATTCAGAAAAAAGAATAAGGCGTACCGATGAATAGGTGCCAGAAACAGCTAATTAAGGTCATTTTCCATGATTGGTGCTGGTATCCACCAAATAGGTGCTGAGGACCAATTTTGGGGCGAATCAGCTTTTAGGTGCCAGAAATAGCTTTTCTGGGACGCAATTAAATGGCGTCCTATATTATGTAGGTCATTGGTTCCATTCCTCACCAATAGCAGTGCACGTTGTTAGCGTGCACTACATAGTTTGGGTAAATAGATGGCGAAAACGTCGAAAGGAGTCGAGAAAGGGGATTGGTGACCCCCATTCCTTCCAATCCCTCGACGTCTGGCGCCTAATTGAGCTAAGGCTTCGCGAAAGAATACAAGCATATGCGCTGTTATACGATACCTTTTTAATACCCTGCATCCCTTGTTCCATCGAGAACCGTTGACATCTGCGAGGCACAGCGATGGATAAGCTAGCCTAGCGGAACTCCCCACCATTCGCTTCGCCGCATGTATTTCTTATAGATCACGCGGATCTAATCGGCCAGTGACACATGGCCACGTTCAGTTTATTACATGCTCATCACAGACAGGGAAATCTATCCATGGACAATGCATGCACAAACACACGCACACACGCACACACGATACTGCACTCATCTTTAATTCAACACATACCTAATGCTCATCGATATTACAAAGCCCTTTCAGGCCCGGCGCCTGTGGGCTTTGTTCAATAAATTAACAATAAAAACAATGCATGCACGCGCAATGCTCAAATAATGACGGCACACGCGCACATGTCCAACAACAAGCAAACGTTTCATTACAACTTACAGTGGATGTTAGTTTAACATTGTTTAACGTTGCCCATGGCTGGGAATGCCTTACAAAGTACTTGTTCACGTCTGTAGAAGTGTAGAGTAGTATTGGTGAGCCCTATCACTTAGCGCACTACCTTGTAATGCTAGTGTATGCCCTGAAGTACACAATGCCACAAACTTGAACCGCATCGCACGTAGAAGGTCCTAGATATTTCGAGAAAAAAAAACGTTAGGTCTTGATGTTACAAATTTGTTTTTAAATACTTGTTCACTTTCTAAGACTAGTAAGCATGAATATTCAAAATAAGCAGTACGTCACCAGACCTCGTCCGACGGGAGCGGCTGCACACTCATGCCGTTCTCACAGCGCAGTCCACAGTACCACATACCAGGCCCTGCGGCTGATGCCCTCTGTTGGCTGGCGCAAGATTTACGTCGTTCGGCGTTCAGCAGTGGGACAAGATCACCCACCGGCGGTAACCGAAATCTGTAGAGCAGAGCTCTGACGAGGCAGCAGCAGGACCACCCTTTCCGTGCGGGTCTCAGTCCTCCTCAAAACACTGCACGTTTCTGTGGTCGTGCTCATATCCACTAGCACAACCGATACTAGTACGATCGTGATTTTATGGTCAAAGTGTTAAATTTGCGGTTTTTACATTGGTATTATCTAATAGAAACAGCTGATGCGGTATAATGTGGTCTTGATAAGAAAATTGCTTCCTCGCTCTGATGTAACTATCGAAACGTTAAAAACTGGCGTTGGCATAATTACGAACAATTACCTGCAGTTGGCAGCTACCTACAAGTGGCTCTTTCTATCTGCTTTTGATTATTGGATAATCTCGTCCCATTCCAGTACCTTTGTCCCCAGCCCTATAGCCTAAGACATTTGAACACAACGTAATGTAATGCTTGCGCCATTCCGATGCGGCCAAAGCGACGATAAGGAGCGCTTTGCTGACGCCTCTGCGACGCACGGCGCTATGAGTATTTGCTGGTCGGCGACTGAGGCGCTGCCGTGTCCCTGCCTGTACCCGCCTGCCGTCATAGGCCGGCGGTGTCGGACTCCAGCCCTGCCCTTCATCAGAACGAGGGCGCCTCTATGCTGACGAACTTGGAGATGTACAACATGATGTCCATCAGCGAGAGGTCGCAGCTGTACTGTTCCCGGCACTCGGTCTGTTTGTTGGTGAGTCCGAAGAGCGCGGCCTTCTGACGAGGTCCGGGGTAGCCATCCGGCCTGCCGACAAGGGAGGAACACAGTCAGAGTCGACGCCATTGCTCGTACAATGTACGTATAGGGTCGGGTGACACACATTGCAGTTATGGAATCTCATCCAACAAATCGCCAAATTTTTACTGTGATGTTTTCATTCCTGGAGCATTGACCTCCCTTGACCGCGAATTGTACGATGATGACGTACTGTTACGTATAGGTATCCTTCCATTACCCCGTATCATTTCAACGAGTTCACCTGAGTTCCACAGCTTAGGTAACCACAAGCATCCCGCCATGCTACATTCTGACCTCAGTGTACAAATACTCGTTTGAATATGACTAGCAACGCTCAAAAACAGAATAATAGATAGTAATAATTGATAACAGAATACAGAATAATAATAATTGATAGCGGGGTGCGCCGGTTGAAGGGAAACGAACCATTTCACTCAATGGCATGCGTGCCTTAAAGGTAGTGTGCCACCTTTGAAAGATTTCCCATTTTATTTTTCCTAGGATAAGAAGCTTCTGTTTTTACCTAATATCGCAAAAAAAAAATCAAAAATGGGCCTGGAATAGTGCCTTTTTGGCCTAAAAGTTTATCGGTTTTTAGATATGTATAACAACTGTAGTGGGCTCACCTGCAAACAGACGTCGGGCAACAATCGCGAATGCGGCGCACTTGTGACAATAAGCAAAGGTCATTATAGTGTTACGACCATACGACGTACGGGAATGAGTTATCAGCTGTCTAATCGTAGACAACACAATGTCGAGCCTTAAACTGTAAGCCCGTATTGGTATTGTTTCTTTTATTTGGCTGTCGAACATTATTTATGGTTTGAAATATGATTTTATGTAAAATAATTGATATGAAAAAGCCGTCTTATAAGTTATGACCCCATTTCACCACACGCAAGTGGCAGAAATGACAATGATCAGCTGACGCATTTTTCTTGGCCGAAGTCAGAGCGCGCGGCCCGACGCACCACGCGTATTTGGAAATTCCGACCTCGACGAGCATCAGAAGCCACCTAACAGGCGTGTTCGAAACCGCAGGAGATGATGATGAACGAACGGGTTTATCGAAACTTGATTGGATGAGCCTATCGGTAATAGCGATTTTAGTATGTGCATTTATTGTTCATAGTGGTGTGAAATGTGGTTGGGGTACGACCGACAACCCGTCGGGGCGAATTTCGCACTGGGGTACTCAAAATTTGAAGAATTTAAGACGTTTCCATGAGTTTTGAAGGTATGGATAAGTTCTAAAAATCCGGTTCTCCTTACCCGGGTCATTAACTCCATATGGTCCAGGAAAGCTGGCACACTACCTTTAATTAGGCAGCCTGATTGTGGACCGAGACTGGATGACAGTTTGTGCTGACCTACAATTAATGTGTCGCAAGTGACAGCAATGATCAATGCATCCAGCGAGTCGTTCAGTTAATCAACATACTAAACAAAGCAAGGCCTTAGCTACTCACGGGTAGAGCATCTGGATGGGCGACGCCAGGTAGCCGAATTTGTGCGGGTTGCGCCACACCTCGCAGGCAGTCTTCTGCGTGCACTCGTCGCCGGTGACGGAGCGCATCTCGTCCAGCGCGCTGTACACCAGGTCGGTCAGCTCGGTGGGCACGTAGGCGTCGTCGTCGAGGCCCTGTCGGTCGGTGGCCGGCACGTAGCCGAGCAGCGGGATGACAAACAGTACGAGCACGGTGAGCACGGCCAGGAAGGCCAGCGACACCACGGCGGCCGTGTCCAGCGTGCCGAACGAGATCTCGGCCAGCGACGGGATGCTGAACGCGAAGAGCGGCAGCGTGAACGCCACCGTCGTGTTGAACTTGCCGGCGCTGTAGTTGGGTCCGAAGAGGAAGCGCGGCTCCACCTGCGACTCGGGTTCGGTGGAGGGCGAGCGGTCGGCGGCGGCACGGGGCGCGTTCAGCAGCAGCGCCGCGGCACACAGCAGCCACGGCGTCCAGCCAGCCATCCTGGCGACAGAGGGGGGAGGTCAGGACCGGTCGGCACAATGTAACACGTATACTCGTACATACACCTCGACACACCTGTACACATTGGCATGGTTCATTCAGTCATCAGAAATAGGACGCATCCGGCGTCATACCATAGATCCAAGAGAGGGACTCGTATGTCATTCAACCACAACCGCCTATCTCGAGGTTAACTCCTTTATTTTTGGAAGTTTCAACGAACTGATCACTGCATTATGCACCGTGAATACCGTGAGCGCAGTTGATGCTTATTACTACCGAGAAATCAAACGAAAGTGGCATAAACGGACCGATTTGGTGAGTACGTTCCAAATGAGTCACGTCGGTAGCGATTATGTTATTTAGACGTGACTGTTTTTTGTCCGAACACGGACTCGTGCTCTGTATCAGTTTCAAGCAGGCCTCGCTCTGTTGCCCCCCCCCCCCCCCCCATTCAGGTATGTGGGCTGCTCTTTGGTCTGAGTTGAGTATTGAAGCCAGCTGGGTGTTTCCTCTCATTGCGAGAAGAAACTCACCAGCTGGTGTTCACTCTCGCAACAAGGACCTCTGCCCTGACTGATGAGGTACTAAATCTCTCATCATTTACTGTCTGCACCTGCGGATATTTGTCGCTAAGATTTCAGCACTGCACTATCTCCTGTTACTGGTCCTCATATTTCACTACATACTCGTGCATGCACCAGCTGCTGACATTCTCCATATCTCAGCAGCAGCAGCACAGCCTGCTGACCGATAGCAATCCGTAGCAATCGATGTCTGTTCCGGGCCCATCTGAAGCCTTTGATCCTGCACCGGCGCTGGCACCGGCCGTAAATTGTTCACGGCAGGGTCCGGCCACGGCCACCTTCGGTAGGCCCGGCAGGCGTGGCGGGTCCGTTACATCAGATACACACGCCACCACTGCGGGTCGGGGTGATCAGGCGTGGCCGTCACAGTCGTCGGCAGCTCGGCGTCACTGGTCAGAGGACCGGCGCGGGGAGGTAGAAGTATACCCACGGTCACCTGCCGAGACGTCACGGAGAAGCGGGGCTGGTGATCACCTACGTATAGCTGTCAGATAGGGACAAGATTGTTGAGAGAGGAATACGAACGCGGCCTTTTTGGAAAGGGAACTTTATAGGACTTTTCCTAAGCATCTTCCATGTGCACTTGAGCAATCATCCAAGCCTCGAGGTACACTGGCCAGTGGTCACGCTTGGTTGCAGCCTGGTGATAAGTCCTGCTGAGCGCTGATGCAGGTATGCCGATCCCGTCGGGTCACCACTTTGTCCTGCTGATCATATGTCGGTCGTACTGATATATATCGTATATCGCGCGCCGCTCCTGCTGAGGATCAGGTGACGCGCGATGCCGTCGATGCATGCCGTTCCCGCTGGGGTGTCGCCCGGTCCTGCTACTCGGCACTATCGGTGCCACGGCGGCTCGGGAGATGCGGTCGATGCCGCGATAGTAGCCGTGACAGAGCCGGCCATCTGCTCGGTATGCTCGCGACGTGCTGTCGGACGGTGACCCGGTTTCCGGCGGTCCACAAGTCTCGCGCGCGCCGCCTCTCTCGGACAGGGCCCGGTGCGTGGAGCTTCGGCCGCCATCTCCCCGCCGAGGAGCCCGGCTGGCTAACTGTGCCGGCCCCCGCAGGGCGGACCCTGACCCTGCCGGAGCGCCTCAGATGGTGGCCTAACGGGCTCCGTCCTGCGGAGCGGCCGGGGTGCCGGCACCACGCGGCCGTCCTGCGGCGCGCTGACGGATGGTGGTCACTCCGCACCGGCTGAAGACCGATCTCACCCGCATAGCAATCGGACACCGACTGTTCCGCCCTCCGATAGAACCCCCCGTAGAAATATGCGGCTACAACTGACCGAGAAGATGGACTAATCTGCTGAGACTTTATGCAGTTAAATCCAGCTCGTGCACGTTTCACGGGGAATATCTCACCTCTCTCTGGCTGGCGCCACACGCAGCACCTCTCCTCGCGCTCACAGCGTCCAAGAGTCGGCCTTGGCACTGGCGCGTGCAGTAGCACCACGGACGCCACAGACCGCACTACCGCGGCCTCCGCCGCCACCGCCGCCACTGTTTCTGTGTCAGACCGCAGGTGCCGCGTCGCTTTCGCCGCGGCAGTGCCGCCGCCCTCCACTGAACGGAGGCGCGCACGTGAATCACGCGAGCCGCAGGCGTCTGCCGCCGCTGCACGGACGCCGCAAGTCACCCCGTCCGATTCTACACCTTACATCAAACATTCAATAAGCCGAGTACACTGAGCACAGTGCACTGTGGCCATCGACCCTTGTTCTCCGTATAAAATCGTCGAACATGACATTCGACCGACTGGGTGTGACTGTTGAGCGCCCTGTGCTGGTGACGGAAGGCGTTGGGCGCTGCGTCCGACGTGCAGTCACGCGCGTCCGAAAACCCACCAGTCACTGTCCGGGGCCGGGCGCAGCTCGCCGCAGCAGCCGCGCGTCGCGGGTATAGGTGCGTCCCTATAGAGGTGCTCCGCTGCCGGCCAGCTCTGCCCGCCCGCTCCCAGCCTGAATCCAGGCACGGAGCTGAGAGCGTGAGCCGGTCGAAGTACCGGTGGGCTGGATGAATTACATCAAAAGAAAGTCCGTCGCAGCTTTTCGATCGGTAGGTAACGGAGCATGACCTTTTAGAGCGTACAGAAACAGAAGGGTTGCGCAGGATTTGGTAATAACTTCACGTGACCGGCTTCTTATAGAAACAATATAGATACACAGCTGGGCTGAAGCAGAGCTATGTTTCGCCGGGAACACCACACAAACCCGTCAAAAGACATTTACGGATGCAACAGTAAACGGCGATAGCATTTAGGCTATACTGAAAATGTGCCTATACGAATTAGGCAATAAAAGACAAACGTCGAGGGATTCAGTTTTTTTTAAGGGGTTCGCCTTGTTAATCACGTAACTCTTCCAGGACTGTGGCGCATGCTTAGGTATATCACTTTTGGGAGATAGCGACTGAGGTCTGAGTTTGTTGAGTAAATGTTGCTTAAAAACAGCTACATAGTTTCGAGTCTTCGGTTCGGTTCATGGGAGCAGGTCAGAAACAAATATACCTTAATGTTGATTATTTTGCTCTCTTTTCCATGCAGTTCGCGGGTTAGGTAATCACTACCGCCAACTGCTTCCGTTTCTTTTTTTTTCTACAAAATTTTATCAGTTAGAACGGACGGGACAGGACAATGGTTCACTTCCCTAACCTTTTGACGGCCGGTATAATCGGATGGCAATGCCTGCGCAAAAGATCCGGCCGCTGCTGAGGTATGGAAACGGGTCAGCCTGTGCACGCGGGCAGTGCAGCTTGTGGTACCGCCCAAGTCGTGCTCGTGATCATCTGTCGGGTCAGGGTAGCCGGCGACAGGCAATGTTTCATAGCAATCAGCTCGGCCATCGAGGACCTACTGCTGGCGAAACCCATCTGACGTTCTTGGACCGGACATATTTGCGTCGCACACATGCCGTGACGGCCATCAAGTATCAGGTGGGTGTGGGTAGAAACATATAGCACTCATTAAGGCGGTAAAATGTGCCGGGGAATGCACCGTGACATCCTTCTAAGGTCACATTTATATTTGCAAGAAAAGAAGTTCAGTGGGATACCAGACCTACAAAAAGTTTTTCGAGGTAACAATATTTTTTTTCGCATGAGTTATAGTGTTTGTCATTAAGCTACAATCACTACACAAATTACAGTTTTTCAAGCACCAAGTAACCCCGCTACTATTCAGCGGCGGGCCGCAGTCGGCTGTTGGGTGGCTGTGAGCGCGCCTCTGTCGGCGGCTGGCTGACCTGCTGCCGGAGTGGGACGGCGCGGCAGACGGTCGGTCGGTCGGTCGGTCAGTCGGTCGTCGTCGCTCCGGCGGTGCTCGGCGCTCCACTGGTGATCCGGCACAGCGCGCAGTCTGTCGGACACTGAGCGGCCGCAGCGCGCCGCCTGACCCGTATACCGGGCGCCTGCCGACGCGCGGCGCCCCGCCCCCCGCCGGCGGCCGCGGCCGGCGGACGTCCGGGCACCGACGGTAGCGACGGGTGTCACTCAGATCAGTTCACGGCAGACCTACACCCCTCATAGCGCCCTGTGTGTATTGTATAACCTAACCTACCACCCGTGGATCTCCTCGACCCTTGACCTTCTCCCTGGTGGTAGCAGGGGGCTTTTTTGGCCACACTCGCCAGTTTTTGTTTTGCGTGTTTAAAGAAAACCGCAACGGCGCCGGGAAACTTGCTATAGCTTATCATCCAATAATGTTGCATCGTGTGTGAAGAAATGACTCTATGGTCACTTAATTTCAGGTCACCAAGGTCAAGTAACAGAAGTTACTCATTTATTCTTAATGTAAAGATGTGATCCTGTCAATTCTATATAGTTGATCATTGGGTCATTGAATTGGATCCCAGAAAATGGATCTAGAATCTGATCCCACGGATCCTGATCTCGGATCCGATGGGACCATAGATCCAGTTCCCCATTTGTCGACAGATCCATGGACAGCATTGATTCGGACCTTTGTTTTGCCTAGGGATCCGATGAGATCATGGATCCTTACTTTATGTTGTCGACATATAAAACCTCAAGAAACATTTGTTGCAATGCACAACGTTCTGTTTTAGGATCGTATGTGAGCATTGATCACACATCACAATTCATAGTTTTGTGGCTCTCATTGAACAAGAATCATCTGGTGCATGTTTTTATGGTAAGGCATGGTAGGATCCCCTCGGATCATAGTTTGATCCCTGTCATCGATTGGTCGTCAGATCCTATGAGCTCCAGAATCATAGATTTATTTTAGCATGGGATCCAATAGGATTATAGATTCTAACTTGTTTGCCTCAAGATCCACTTATAATAGGTATAGATCCTTATCCATCTTTCGGATCCATGCACAATGCACATGTCTGAATATTAGTACCAACATTTCGTATATTACAGATTTCTTATACTTATGACCTGGTCAATGATATCAGGTCAGCTTTGTGACATTACCATTACAGAGCAAAATGAGAAAAGTACAAAATATAGAAGAGCGCAGGGACTATCACATATAACCCTGTTTTTTTCGAAATTCGGATTTTTTGGATTTTGTTCGGAAAAAAATCAATTTTTGGAATTTTTGGGGGTCAAAAACCCAAAATTTTGAAAATCCAAGATACCTGTTTTGTAGTGCCGCTTTTGTTTACATGACGATATAAAGAACTTTGAAATTGCTTGGTAACTGTAGATTTGGTGAGCGTTTCAAGATTGCATGTTTTTTATCATTTTTGCTCGAACATGACCTCAGTTTGACCTCAATAACTCCTGACCTAACGTGACCTAAGACTTGACATTTTGTGTGAAGGTGTCAAATGGATGCCCGGGAAAGTACTGAAAATTTGGCGGCGCTGCGCGCCGCCGTTTTCTTGCTATACAGGAAAAACCCCATGGGGGGCCAAATTGCCCCCCCCCCACGGGGCGAGGATTAAAGGTCCTCACCAGCTTTTCGATAATCACTTTTGATGAAGACGTGATAGAGCGATGAAGGCACCTGAAATATGTTGATGTCAACAATACAGATGGACTTATATGCACCCTGACCGTTTTTGGTCAGGTCATGTCCCTCACCTAAGGCCAACTTTTTAAGTTGACCTTTTCGGGTCAAATTAAGTACTTCATTCGCTGCGTATCGACGAGAGAATCACGATGATGGTGAATTATTAATGTCATACAATGATTGGTACCAAATTCATTGAAGATTAGACAAACCGTTTTATCAAAAACCGTTTATTTTGGTTGTTTTGGCCCTCGCTGGGATTCACTTAACCGTTGACCAAAAACCAAAGCTGAAAACAAGTTGAAGGAAGAGCTTTGAAAGAGCTTGCACTATTCCGCAACGCTGTGGCTCTTTTGGTTAATGAGTGATGCGCTGATTTGTGAATATCAAGTCCGAAAATTTTCACAAATAATTGGGCAAATCACGGGAAAATTTTGGTTTTTATTACCTCTATCGACATTTGATAGGAAAGTGTAGAGCAGTCAATGTTTGCCCATAAGCATAAAGGTACCCGACTTGCTTTGGTATTCGTTATAGGTGCATACAAACGGACGCATATACTCATAACCGCGATCTAAAGTTAAACGTTTAAAGTTAAAAACTACGTTAGAAATATATATTTAAGCCTTTAACTGCCAACCTTCCATATACAGGGTGATCATTATAAATTGGGAATGAAACGTGCCATATAGTTACCGCGATTTGTTTACAATCAACAGACTAGAGTGACACATCATCTGAATGGCAAATTTCCAGGACATTTGATGTGAAACAAAAAAAAAAAATCGTTCCGCCTCTCTTCGGCTCAGGGCACGCGCTCGAAAAGGCTACCCTGATTCCGGCAACGCAGCTCGGTATGTCGCTGGGAGCGGTAGGTATGCCATTCGCCGCAGCTGCTCCTCACTGATGTGACGGTCTTAGCCCATCATATTCTTGTCACTCCAAGGATTAGGGCCTGATGGTGGTTATCCAGATATTTTTTTAACTAAATCGACCTCTCCATTGTCCAAGAAAGATTGCGGGACAGAAGTGACGGCATAGAGGGCACGATCGATGAGAGGTGTTTGCCCATTGCCCGTTCTCAGGTTGACGGAGCGACGGAGCAGCTCAAGGTGATGGAGACTGTCATTCGACCCGCCGTGCGTATGGTGTGCTGATTAAGCAACCCTAAGAACGTGCTGGTTCAACAGGAAGGCGCATCTTTCCAAGTAATACTGACTTTCAATGCAATTCTTGACAACAAAACTATGCGATCGGTCCAAAACCCCTAAAACGCAACACTGCTGGTTTTCGCGTAGTTTCGGTCTAAGTTCCCTCAAATTGAGATTCTGGCAACAGGTTCAGGACAAGGTCATCGACCATCGTTGATCCCATTCCTTGAGGCAACTGAAGGGCATCGTAGATAAAGTTACTCGCAATTTCAGTGAGGAGCCGCTGCGGCGAACGGCATACCGTCTACCACTCCCAGGGCTGACCCGAGCTGGGTTGCCCGAAATAGGATGGTCATTTCGAGCGCCGGCCCTGAGCGTAAAGAGAAGAGTCAAGAGGGACGACTTTTTCATACAAAATGTCCAACAATTGCCTTTCCAATGGTGTGAACTTTTATCTGCTGAGTGTAAACAAATGATGGTAATCATGTGTCACTTTATTTCATAATTCCCTGTTTATATTGATCCCCACATCGTTCCTTACCTAAGAAAAGAACCACTTCCCTTACAGGAAGAGGTTCAAGTTAAATGGGTCACTTGACTGCACTGCGCAACTGAATAAGATGCGAGGCGTTCTGGCGAGGCATGCAGTCCTTGCCGCCTAAATCTGCATGTGTTAGAGACGCTGGTGACATAGTGACAGAGGGCAATGGAATGGCCGCCGGGGCGCCGGGACGGCCCGCCGGGGGTCGTTGACCGGTCCGAGAGGACGCAGACCCCTACCCTGCACCCCTACCCAGCTGCTGAGATGCAATGCAAAAGCGAGCCGCGTGTCAGTCGGCTACGGCCGAGTGTCACTGACACGTGTCACCACTCAGTGCCGTGTGTCACCGCGGTCACCAGTGCGGCCACCGGGCGGCGAGCGGTCTGCGGTAGCTGCACTGGTGCCGTGCTCCGTCTGTATATGTACGGTCGGCGTTAGTGCAGTGAAGGGAATTATACTCGATCCTCTGTAAACTTATGCATATGAAAATTGTAATTGTTGAAATTTTCTGATTTCGTTTCGACTCGGCAAATGAGCATTTCTTGTTGAAAAAAAAAACTGTGAAAGAAAAGAAAATAAATGTCTGGACTACGTTTGTTCATAACTGGGCGATATCCTTTCCATATCATTGGGGTCAAGTCCGATTTAAGGTCTAATGCAAGGCCGTATAAGAGAGGTAGAATCATCCCGCGATTTCCAATGGACCGGTCGCTAAGCATTAGCGTGACGTCACTGGTGGAGACCGGGCGGCGCCCGGCTCCAAGCTGTACGTCGGGTACATTTGGCACCGTATAGTTGTTATTACTGAACGTAACGACAACTAATGACTCTTAAAGGAAATAGTTCACTTTCCTGAAATTAGTATTTTGCTATGGATTTATGTTTTTTATGCTCAAAATGATCAGAAAATAAAACAAAACGTTTGTGTAAAAAGGATTATTTTCTATATTTTAGTATAAGAAGAACTATATTCTATATAAAATAATGTTTGACGCGGAAGCTTATTACGCGTTGACCAATCATATTGCGTAGGACAAACCCATCGGCTGTAAGCAGCATTCTGATTGGCTGACGATGACGTGACTGCATTCCTCAGCAAGGCACGCATTCCTCTGCAAGGCACTCTTTTCGGAACGAAAAATGGAATATCTTCGTCTAGGGTGATCGTTGGGCCGTAAAAGCTTCTGATTTGTGCTAGTCTCAGCGCAAGCAACAAAACTGCTATTCCAGTTCCAAACCCCATGTTAAAAGTGAACTATTTCCTTTAATAACTTTTAACTCACCTAAAGCTGATTTCCTTGCCGATACATTGCCGACCCGAGCCCCAGGGTTGACAATCATGGGATATGGGTCGGATGGGCGACCTCGCGACGGGAGAAGGAACGATTGCAATTGTTGTGTCCCGCACCGCCGATTGCATTCTCTATCTGCACCCGGGGGGTGGGGGGAGCAGGGGGCACGTGCACCCATCAGCTCAGGGGGCCTCTCGGGCCCGAGGGGCCTTGCGACGCCAATTGGCGGCTGAGGGTCCACGCTGGCATCTTTCGACTCAGAAAGGCCCCACACACAGGGCTCCGAAGAACACCTTATGTGCTCCGAAGAGCTACACGTCTCTCCATAAGAGCACCACACCGGCTTTTTAGTGTCCCTTGTTGGCCTTTGAGGGCCCCTTGCCGGCTTCTCAGGGCC